ATAGCACCTACTTGAAATTCTGTGCTTACATTTCAGGTTTTGCAGCAACCTGTAGAGCACATCAATGAACCATATTGCAAGGCCTCCTAATGCCTTGAACTCACAGCTTTTTTATCTTTCACTTACAAGAAATTTTCAGGCTTTATTATTTTGCATTTCCTGTTTTCCTTCAATATAACTTGACAACAAATTGAGCATCAGTCAGTGTGCATTTTAGAGGTTTCATCTATTTGTAAGGTATGTGATTCCTTTCAAATACATCAGTATATCTATGGAACATGGCCTTCCTTCCACTGTTGGTGTTTATAGATGGCTTAAAGCAGAGATGCCCTCATCTCCACTGGGCTGGCTGGAGTTTACTATAAATGCAAATAGAATGAATGTTAGGATGTGCTTTTGGATGAGCTCCAGATTGACAGAACAGGGTTTTCCATTCCTGAAGTAACCCCTGGTTCTTCATGTCACCTTAGCAAGTTTTTACCTTTTTTTGTTCCTCTTTTCCCCATCCCCAGAGAGTTACATTTGACTGAGGAGCTTTCTGAAGTTTCATGACCTAACAGGAACAGAATGCCATTTTATTTTTTTTCCTCCTAGCTACCACTAAAAGCAGTTCCCTGGTCTAGATCATGGCAGGAATTTCAGGGACAGCTGTGCTGGCACCAGAGAAGAGGCAGCAGATCAGCGTGACACAAAGCAGGGGCAGGGCAGAGCGGGAAGAAGGTCCCAAGCAGTATCAAGAATTCATTTTGCTGCAAAATGTTTTTCAAAGCCACTTACAATCCCAGAGAAAGCTCAACACTTCTGGGGAAGGAAGAGGAACCCTTTCCCAGCAGCCTTCTTCTGGCTGGCCCAGCCTAAGCATGGCTTGCAGTTTCTCAGAGTCATGGTTTCTAAGCAGACAGTAAAGATTAAAGGCAGCTTTAAAAGGAAAAGAGCATGGGAGCTGAGTTTAAAGGGAGAATTAACTGGGTGCTGCAGGAGAGGGTGGGGTCAGAATTGCATCACGAGGCAATTGCAGCCCAGTCTGAAGGGAAGGGTGAGAACCCAGCGCTGCTCACTTGAAGCAATGACAGATGGCAGCCTCTTCTTCCAGACCTTGGACTGGGATGGAGAAGGGTGGGGCAGAAAGAAGGGAAGGGTGCAGTTTCCAGAGGCTGCTGAGTAGGCAGAATATTGAGCAAGGTGAGTCATGAGGTGCAGGCAGCAGGAATTTCCTGCACTGCTTAAGACGTGCTTGGGGAGGCAGGGGTTGGAGAAGGGAGCTCAGGGAGAAAATGCTTGGCTTTACAGAATCTCTCCTGGTATCCTAGCAAGTGTCAGACTGGATGTCACCTTTCCTGTACCTCAGGCCTATTTAATTTTTCTTCTCTCTTTATAGGCCTTTCTTGCTGTATTGAAGTGGTTTTCTTGAATAGTGTATGACATAGCACTATAATGCTGATCAAAGTTAGGGGAAAACCCTCAAGAAACCTGCCTTACATATATCTTCTGGTGATCTCACCCAAGTGTCCTTCAAGAAAGCCCCACAAAACAGCAAAATTGCTGTGAGTCAAGAAAAGAAGAAACGACTTCTCTGGAGTGTGCTTGTTACTGATCCTGCTGTCAGTGTGAATGCCCTGCACCCTGGTGTTCCTGAGGTAAGAGAATAAAGTCTTCATGTCTTCTCCCTGCTCTGCTGTGTCTACAAGTTGTTCTTCTTGAGCTAATGGCCTGCTTGGAATCTTTGCCTGTTCACAGGCTTCTCCTGGTTTATCTACCGGCTTTTTAAAATGTATTTTATTATTTTGCACTCTGTTGATTCCGCAACACAAATGTCGGATCTTTAAAGCATCGTTGTAAGGTGATCATGGCAAGTTACACTGAACATATCAGAAACCCTTTGTGTGAACGACAGAGTAACATTCACCCAAGTGAACGATGTGGTTTTTTTCTCCAAAGGATTTCCTAACAGGAGTCTCCTCCTTTGAGCTTTTATCACAGCATTCAAATGTAAATGATTTAGATGCTTTTGCAAGTTGTGGAATCACCTGTTCTCTGACAGATCTCTTTCAAGAGGTTTGAAAAGTCAAGAAACCTTGGAGAAAAAGGAAATCTAGCTTCGGTAAACTGCGTGGGTTTGTACAGAGAAAGCTCAGTGAGCAATAATCACTGCTGCTTGCACTTGATTAGAACTTTATTCCAGCACTCAAGGGCCGAGCCTGCACGCAGAATTTTGTGTGTTTGAAAACCTGAGAGCAGGACACCGAGAGATTACCACGGAGTTTTCCTTTGATGCCTGCCTGCTGCAGCAGTGACCCCGTTGGTACTGAGCGCTTGCTTAAATGCCAAGTGATTTCCATCAGGCAATAGAAAAGTGCCGAGTTTCCTTCCCTGAGCCTCTCTGAATACACAGATTACCTAACGAGCTGGCGTCTCTACCGCCCTGCTTAGGAGAGCGGAAAGTGGGAGGTCGAATCACCCTGCTAGCTTTCAGTGCCTAACACAGGGAGCCTTTGCGTGCACGCAGAGCCTCAAGAAACCCAGAGAGACCTGCGGGGGGAAAAAAAAAAAAAAGAAAAAAAGAAAAAAAAAGACATTTGAGCACACAGCGGAGCCGATCAGGACAACTGACCTCAGGGTACACTGAGTTTTTTGTGATGACTTTTCTACCCTTTATCACATATGCATCGTTCGTGGAAGGTGGTTTTTATCGAAGCCCTTCATATATTTTTGGTTTCTCATGACTCGATATCTCTCTGCTTCTGTCCCTTGCTGCAGAAGGGCATCAGTGGGCACTAGAGACACAGGGATTATTTCAGCTACCGCCGTTCCTGGGCTGAATCAACGCCGGGTTGTTTTTGAAACGTCACCCTTCGTGTTCGATTAGAGCAGTGACTGCAACACCCACCCGGAGCCCCCCGCCCTCCCCCGCAAAGCACAGCACACGCTGTCACCAGGAGGAAAGGCAGAGCAGGGCACAGAAACCCAGGGTCTGGCGGAGTTAGGAGACCTGCAATGCACGTCTTGCACAGATGAGAAGCAGCATTGCAGCTGTTCTTGTCCTTTTTTCCCCCTCTGATTTTTTATTGTTTTTGAAACGTCACCCTTCGTGTTCGATTAGAGCAGTGACTGCAACACCCACCCGGAGCCCCCCGCCCTCCCCCGCAAAGCACAGCACACGCTGTCACCAGGAGGAAAGGCAGAGCAGGGCACAGAAACCCAGGGTCTGGCGGAGTTAGGAGACCTGCAATGCACGTCTTGCACAGATGAGAAGCAGCATTGCAGCTGTTCTTGTCCTTTTTTCCGCCTCTGTTTTTTTTTAAAGCATTCTTAGCATTTCTACTTTCTAGCTGAGGCTGGGTTCTTAGAAATCTGAGGAATTATCATCGCTTTTTCACTGTTGTTGGTTTCCAAAATTTGCTTATGCTCCTCTGCAGGCTAAATATGTTACTGGTTTGTTTTCAAAGATTAATCCAGTGTTGAGTCCCCAACCCCCTGCTGCTGTTTCAGTGCTGTGGCTCTCTACTTTGGCTGCTACACCACAGCTTGTTCTTGTTGCTGCTCACAGCTACATCTGTTGATGGGCTGGGAGCCATCTCCAGCTATGCAAATGCAGGAGCACCTTCTCCAGATTTTAATCCTACGCAGCTAACTTCTCCTGGAATCCAGGATCTCTGTGGAGGTGCCAGATATGCCTGCTGTAACTTGAGTTGGTGATGCTCTTCCTCATGTGCACAAGGCACAACACTGTTCTGGACTGAGTTGTGGTTCTGTGTTTGTTTTTAAACTTAAATACCACGGCTTCGTGATTTTTGTTTTAAATGTGGCAAGCTCGGTAAGCATTGGCTAAAGACTGACAGATGTAGGATATTTAAATATTATTCACATAGAACAGCATTTTATTACCTTTGGTTTATTTACCTTTGATTGAATAGCTTTCATTACCCCTCTCATCTCTCCAATAATTTGTCAATCTACCTGATTGTATCTCTGTGTTCAGATTCTACCTTTCTGTTCTACTGCCAATCCCCATCCCATGTACAAAAAAGTAAACTTAATCCCATTCTACATTCTACATGCTCATTAAATGACCTTAATTTTCAAACTGTGTTCTGAAGCTTCTGTGTGATTGACAGTCATCCTGCTGAGATTTCACCTCTCCCCTTTTACACATCCGTAGGTTTAGATTGGGTATTAGGGAGAAATTCTTGCCTGTGAGGGTGGTGAGGCCCTGGCACAGGGTGTCCAGGGAAGCTGTGGCTGCCCCTGGATCCCTGGAAGTGTCCAAGGCGAGGTTGGAATGGACTCTGAGCAACCTGCTCTGGTGGAAGGCGTCCCTGCTGGGCAAGGGTTTGGAATGAGATTATGTTTAAGGTTCATTCCAATCCAAGCCATTCTCTGATATTTCACATTCTCTTTTGGTCACACAGTTTTCCCCCAGGAGCCGGGAAGCCTCTTCCCTGCCAAGAGAGGTCTCAGGCCAGTTTGTTCTGGTCCATTCTCCCCTCCTTGCACAGCGCCGTGTTTTTCACTCCTTTTCCAGCGGCGCTGGGTCCCTTTCCCCATCTCCTTCCTGCCTCGGCCGAGCCGAGCAGTGGCACTCCTGCCCGGCTGGCTCCCCAGCGCCCTGCAGCTCCTCCCCAGGAGCTTCGCTTCTCCCGTTCCAGGCGCTCCGTGTCCCGCTTCCCCGCCGCCGTGCCCGTGAGGGATTAGCGGTGCTCGTGAGGGGACCCTGCGTGCCCGTGAAGGGATCTGCAATGCCCGTGAAGGGATCGGTGGTGCCCATTGAGGGGACCCTGCCGTGCCCGTGAGGGGACCCGCGGTGCCCGTGAAGGAACTCTGCGTGCCCGTGAAGAGGACCCTGTGTGCCCGTGAGGGGACCCTGTGTGCCCGTGAAGGGATCCGAGGTGCCCGTGAAGGGATCAGTGGTGCCCATTGAGGGGACCCTGCCGTGCCCGTGAAGGGATCAGCGGTGCCCGTGAAGGGGATCCTATGTGCTTGTGAGAGAACCCTGCGTGCCCATGAAGGGATCCGCCGTGCCCGTGAGGGGACCCGCCGTGCCCGGTGCCAGCGCAGCCCCGCCTGCCCCGCCCTCCGCCGGGGCCACCCTGCCCCGGCTCTGCTCCTTCTCCAGCGCCAGCCGGGGATGTCCCCGCCCCGCTGTGGGGCACTGGTGCCGCGGGGATTTGTCCTGGAGCGAGGCGGGGGAACCGGGAGCGCCTCGTTCCCGGCTGCCGGCGCGTCCCGCGGCACTCCCCGCTGTCCATGGAGCCGGCGGCTGGGATGCCCGGTGGATTCGAACCGAGATTCCCGGGGGATTCCAGGAGGGGGATTCACGCTGGGATCCCCGGCAGACTCCCCCGCCACCGCCCCTTCGCGCCGGGGGCGGCGGCCGCCGCCGCTCCGCCCTCCCCGCGTTGTTTGTCCCCCGGCGCGCTCCGTAGCGCGTGCGGCAGGAGGCGGAGGTGGCGGCGGCGGCGGCGGAGGTGGAGGTGGAGGTGGTGGCCGCCGCCGCCGCCGGTGGGGCTGGATCCTCCTCGTCATCGTCGCCGCCGCCGCCTTCGTCCTCGGCCGCGGCGGAGCCGGAGCCGCTGCTGCTGCTGAACGGCGAGGCGGAGAGCATGTCGGAGCCGAGCCCGGAGAGCGCCAGCCAGGCCGGGGACGGGGAGGACGAGGACGAGGAGGAGGAAGAGGAGGAGGAGGAGGGCGGCGAGGAGGAGGAGAGCAGCCTGGTGGGCAGCAGCAGCAGCAGCAGCAGCACGAGCAGCGGCTGCTGCAGCGACGAGACCCGCTCGCCGAGCCCCGGCGGCGGCAGCGAGGCCGACGCCAAGGAGGAGCCCAAGGGCCCCCGGGGCAGCCAGGAGGACGGGCCGGGCCGCGGCGGGGGCGGCAGCAGCTCCAGCAGCGTGTCCAGCGGCGGCGACGAGGGCTACGGCACCGGCCCCGGCACGGGCGGCGGCAGCAGCTGCGGCAGCGCCACGTCGGGCGGCCGGCGGGGCAGCCTGGAGATGTCCTCGGACGGCGAGCCCCTCAGCCGCATGGACTCGGAGGACAGGTCAGTGCCCGGCCTCGGCAGCCCCCGCTGCCCGGGCGCCGCCCCGCTCCCTCCCGCGGCTGTCACGGCAGCCACAGGTTTCCCCGGCCAACTTGTGCCGGGCCCCCGCCCCTGCTCCCCGGGGCCCCCCGGCTGCCCGATGGCCGCGGAGGAGGGGGCGCTCCCCGGCCACCGCGGCCCCGCCGGGCGCTGCCGCCGCCTCCTCCTGCGGGGCCTCTTGCCTCGGAAGCTGCGGATTTTTCTCAGATGGTGCTCTCGGGGTTCTTCAGGGCTGTGTCTTGCGGCAAAGCGCAGGTGGGGTGAAGCTTCGGGGTGGGGAATGCATCTCTGGATGCGGTTTGACCTGCGCCCGCAACAGGGTCTCTGCTCTAGAGGGAGAAAACCGAGTGAAAGCCTCGTAAAATGTGAGGGGGAAAAAACCGAGTTTGCTGAAATAAAAAGGAGACCAGCCTTTCCTGCATTGCGTGTGCACAAGTAATAATCGTGCACGGTGTGAAGTGGGGCTCAGAGTCACCTTTGAATGAGTTCTGTAATTGTGGATTTCAGAATCTGTAAGGATGAATTCTTGAGCTTTTGTGTGTTAAAGCTGCGCATTTAATTTTACCAAGATTCTAGCTCGGTTCTGGTGAAAAGGCACAGCCGAGTTCTCACACATGGTTGAATTCGACCATTCAGGTCTGTTTCAGCCTACTGAGTCAAGCATTTCAAAGAACACGGCTTATGTAGGAGCTCTCCTGGATGTTGTATGCAACAGTTTACTTGAAAACCTGAAAATAGGATGGAAAAAGGACGTAAAAACAGTGAAAATGCTGTGTGTTCCTTTCTAATTAGTCCTTTCAAATAGTTAAGAAACTTGTACGATTTTTCTATATGTTTAGCAGAAAAAGTATCAGACTTCTCTGCTAGAGTTACACTTAAGTAACAATTAGAATTTTATTTGCATTTTCTTAGGATAGTTTCACTGTTAAGTGTGGAGAATTACGTGGTTTGGTTCAGAAATGTACTTTGAATATATGTTAGATCAAAATCTTTGTAACTGTACAAGTACCTATATTTCAGAATGAAAACGGGGCATGACTGGACCTAACCTCGAAGATTAAAACCAGCCCAGCAAACCCCTCGTGTTCCCCAAAACCATGTAATTGGCCTAAAAGTCTTAGGAAGACAGAAAAAAATTCAGGTTTTTGGTTCCCATCAGACTTCTGAGACTCACAGAAGTCACGTTTTCTTTCTTCTAAACTTATGCGAGTGGAAAAGGGGTGTGGATGTTTGGGTTTGTTTGTAGGTTTGTTTGTTTTCTGTTTTTTTCAAAAGCTGAGATTTTACGTGCAATTGACTAAGTATGGGAGTAGACTTCTGGAAAAACACCAGGTACATAAAGGAGCTTTAGGGTGACAGTTTTTTCTTTTTCATAGAGTGAAAGTCTGAATCTAATCCTGATCTCATCCAAGTGCGTGTCGGGCTTGAGGAAATAACAGAAATAACTTGCAGGGGTTTTCTGGAAGTAGCGTCATTATGCCTTGCCCTGTGCCCTCCGGAGCTGGTTGCTACTTTCTTTCTCTGTCATTGTTCTCGTGGTCCTCTGGCTGTACGTGGTTAAATCCTCGTGTGTGTGTCCCTGCTCCTTCCCTTTACCACCAGGAGCAGGACTCTTTGTGTTTAGTGGTTTAACTAAGGACTGTGCCTTGTTTTCAATCTTTGCAAAGTTTTCTCTTGACCTGCCAGGATGGAAACTTGGGGTGTTGAGGGTGCGTTTTGTGCTGTAATTGCAAGGCCTGCTTGTTGAGTTGGTGGGAGAAGAGCAATGCTGCCAAGAGTGCCATTTGTTATTCCTGGGGTTGGAAAATTTCGTTTGGTGTGCACTCTTTGCTGCAGCGTGTTAGAATGCTTTATTATTTTTGTCACATGTAGTCCAGCAAGTTGCTCGCTTGACATCGTGATCCAAATGATTGCTGCTGCTTGGAAGGCAGCCACAGCATAATCCTGTGCCTTTCAGATGGTCACACAGACAAGCAGAGTGTTGCAAAAGGTAGGGATGTGCTGAGGAGTTAGAGTGTGTAAATTGGAATAGTGAAATACCAAGGAAGAGCTGGAAGCAGCTTAGACTTAATATATTGAAATCCTGAAAGAATAAATTATTTGTTGATTTGGTCACCTCCGGATTGAAATGTAAATTCTGTGACTGTTAGAGAATGATATTTTATTGTTATTTAAGTGTTGTTAATTTGGGGTAGTTAGTTGTGCAGTACTTCATGACCTTTGCTGACTCCCCGTGTCTCTGAAGTCCTGAGGAGCTCGGTGTCTGACTCTCAGAGTGTTGTAAAGATTCCTTGGTCACCTCCGGATTGAAATGTAAATTCTGTGACTGTTAGAGAATGATATTTTATTGTTATTTAAGTGTTGTTTAATTTGGGGTAGTTAGTTGTGCAGTACTTCATGACCTTTGCTGACTCCCCGTGTCTCCGAAGTCCTGAGGAGCTCGGTGTCTGACTCTGTGTGTTGTAAAGATTCTCTGGGGAGGGAGTAGAGAGAAAAGGGAAGAGATGGAACTAACAGGCTTGACTTCTCAGAGCCTGGGTTTAGCCAGAGGAAGCTGGGAGGAGAGTGTTCTCAGCAAAGACTCTCCTGCTGTCAGCAGGTTTGGTAACATTCACATCATGCCCCTGGGCTTGGGATTTTTTTTCTTGCTTCCTCTTTAGAAAATTTGAATGAATTAAAGGGTGTGGTAAGAGGGCCTGAATTACGTGAGTGATCAAATTCCCATTTCCTTGTGCATGCTCTTTATCATTCTCCACGTTGTGTTATCTCTGACTTTTCCTTTAGTGATATCAAATACAAATGAAGCAGATGAAGAGGAAAATCTTGCATATGGTCAAAATAGAGCTACTGTTCAACAACTTCTATTTTTAACATTTTACTGTATTTCGAGAGTATCTGCTGACAGCAAAAAATAATTTGTAGGAAATTGGTCAGTATTTATAATAACACGAGAAATAAATAAAGAGGTGACTATCAATGCCCTGAAATTTAGGGTGAATTTTAACCCTCCATTTCCATACCTGCAGATAGACTTTGTACTTTGCTGCAACATGCTTATCTTCCCTCCCAAAAAACCCAGAAAGGAAAAAGCAAAGCCCAGACTGACACCTAGGATAAACAACCAAGGTGGCATTTTCAGCACACAGGAGAGTTCAGTGCACTGACTCTAGGACTGGCAGGTATCTCGTTGATCTGTAGTAGTTCCATTTTTTCCCTGGGAATTGTGCTAAGTTCCCACTGCTGTGCAGGAGTTTGTCTGTGACTTTTGTGAGCCAGCTCAGATCAGCTGGCTGAGTAATAATAGTCTGCATTCAAGCCTAGTGATCCTCTGGATTTACAGTTGGAACAATGACTATTATCAGCACGTGAATGCTGCTCATTTTCTTGTGCCTTTCCCCAACTTGAGAACTGTGCTGAAAGGATGGATGTGTTCTTCCAGCTCTGGAGCTGCTAGTCTTGCTGTAATGCTGGGAAACATTTGACAGGACTTGAAAAAATAATGGTTCAGTTAACTATAAACACTGAAGCTGGACCTAAGCAAATGCATGGATTTGGTTATAAACCAGCTGAGCTGAGCGTGATGGAGATGCATCTGCAGCTCCCTGCTGTTGTTACTGCTGAATTATGATATTTTCTTACAAACACTTAGTTTACTGAAATAATTTAAATATTGTTTACTGGAACACTTATTATGGAAATGTATTTAAATCTGAAATAGTTTCATCGTCAGATTTTGTTTGGTTTAGAAAGCAGTGGTAGGTCTCGCAGTTGGAAGTTGCTGAGCAGAAATTTGAGTAGTAAATCTGTATGAAGAGCTTTTTTTGTTCACCCTTGTGAATTTGTCTTGTCACCTGGAAGTTACCCCTGGTTTACTATTCTTACATTATCTTTACCCCTCTTAGCAGTTTTTCCTTTGCTCCCTCCTGCTCCTGGCTGGGCAGTGAGCATGGGGAAGGTGCATTGGGGCTGCAGGATCAGCTGTTCTGCTGCGGGAGCTGGGAGTGCTGATTGATGTGCTCCTGGGCCAAGTGCAGCAGGTTGGCTTTGGACCTGTGTAATAATCTGTCCCTTAGGCACAGCACTAAATAATGCCCATCTTACAGGCAATTTTTCATGAAACTTGTAAGGCTTTATTTTCTTTTTCTTTTCTTTTTTTGTTTGTTTTGTTTGTTTGTTGGGAAACACTTAGTTTACTGAAATAATTTAAATATTGTTTACTGGAACACTTATTATGGAAATGTATTTAAATCTGAAATAGTTTCATCGTCAGATTTTGTTTGGTTTAGAAAGCAGTGGTAGGTCTCGCAGTTGGAAGTTGCTGAGCAGAAATTTGAGTAGTAAATCTGTATGAAGAGCTTTTTTTGTTCACCCTTGTGAATTTGTCTTGTCACCTGGAAGTTACCCCTGGTTTACTATTCTTACATTATCTTTACCCCTCTTAGCAGTTTTTCCTTTGCTCCCTCCTGCTCCTGGCTGGGCAGTGAGCATGGGGAAGGTGCATTGGGGCTGCAGGATCAGCTGTTCTGCTGCGGGAGCTGGGAGTGCTGATTGATGTGCTCCTGGGCCAAGTGCAGCAGGTTGGCTTTGGACCTGTGTAATAATCTGTCCCTTAGGCACAGCACTAAATAATGCCCATCTTACAGGCAGTTTTTCATGAAACTTGTAAGGCTTTATTTTCTTTTTCTTTTCTTTTTTTGTTTTGTTTGTTTGTTGGAGATTTTTTGGGAGGGGATAACCTTTTCATGTTTTTTGTTACTCACCAACGAGTCAGTTATTGTGGGGCCCTGACTCAAGGAGTACTTAATGGCAGTTTGTGTTCTTAACCACATAAGACTTGCAAAATACTTCTAGAAATGTTATTATTCTGTTCCTATTGAATAGATGAGCAGTTTGAAAACACATGTCAGATAAGTTTTTCAGTAGTAAACTTTTCTGTGCTTCAGATTATGATGTTTTTTCAT